AAAGTTATCGCGATTGATCGAATGTAAAGAAGCTTTAGAATTAAAAGACTGATTTTGTCTGCATTAAATATGGCATTCGAATAGTTAGATCTTTTCATTAGACACTTCTTGAGTAGCAGGTACCTTGTAGTCGAAATGTCGCCCAAGGCACGTTTTTTTCCACCACAGAATGTATGTGCTGTGAAGTTCATGAACAAATGGCAAAAAGCAAACAGGGAAAAAATATATATGTACATATATATATATATTTACATGCAAATTACTCATTGAGGAGATGAGTGCAGCCGGAGAAGAGCGGAGCCCGGGGGGGTAAACAGCGTTGAGGTTGAGATGTTCCAAGTTTGAGTGAGAAATTTGCATGTTTATGCGAAAAAATATTTGGTTGTTTGTTATGAAAATTTTCGCATTTGTCGTATGAGCGAAAAAAATAAAACGACATTCCTGTTGGCTGGTGGCAAATGCGCGATTTGTGGCAGAAATGTATATCCTCCTTTCCTTTTCATGTCTGCATTTGATATGAAAGTTTCTGGCTGGATCTTGTAGGAGGAACTGCTGTCAGCACTTGATGCAATGCAAATTTCCTCCCTCCGAAAATTGGGTTTTAATAACAAATTCAATTTAACTTTGAATATTTTTTTTTGGATACACATACTCGCACGTGAGCGGCTACAACAATAATTGGTTTTGGTTTTTCTTCTCGGGCGGAGAGAAGGTCAGGCCCTGGCCAGGCGAGACGAGAGGCTTTTGTGCATTTTCATTGAATTTTCCCCAGGCCCCCGTTTATTTTTCCAGTGACTGAAAAAATTAAATCACAGCACGTTTGCGTAGCCCCCTTCCCGATGCACTTGAGTGAGTTTCCATAAAGCGCTGAGATCTATGGAAAAACCAGTTCCAAATGAATCAGAAATTAACATAAAGGTTGAGAGCCAGGTTAAACTGTAGGAGTATCCGTGCCATTGTTAGGAGGCACCGGCACAGGCACAGGCACGCCCACAGGGCCCCTCCAGCTAACGGTTTCCAATTGTTGCAAGTCGGCAACAAATTGTTTGATTTCTGTTTGTGACAGCTGGCTCTCTTTTTTATGTCAACATTTTCACTGACCTGCCCCATGAGGGAAAGCCGTGGAGGGCTTCGATTCTATTCCGTAGATGGCAAAAATGTCTGACAATTGAAGTGAATCATAAGTGATTGATGGATAAAAATATCTATGATTGATTTGTGTCTAATACCAAGAGTATTTAAAGTTCGCTTTGCTCTTTCTGTATTTTATTTCATTTCATTTCTTGTTGGTTGTCATTTTCAAACATTTGTCAAACGACACACAAATAAAGTGAAATATGAAATTTTGTGACAGCTCCACAGACCCCCCATGGGACGGGCTCGATGCCCAGGCTTGACCAGAAAACGATTTTTATTCTTATTGTTCTTTAGTAAAGTTCAGGCTGAAATTTAAACGTTTTAGGTTTGATTTTTGCTTAGAAATTTTTAAGTTTTTACAAGCTTTTTTGAGGAATTTAATATGATATTGAAAAGAAATTCAAACTTAATGTGTGCTATGAGAAGATTGTCCAATGAGCGTTTCCACTGTCTCAATTGATGTGGGAATTCAATTTATTTAAATAATATTTAATCCATGATTTTTTAGAGTAAAACTTTGGCCTTTCTGTAAGCAAACTCCCATGCATTAGGTGTCTTGTGCCTCCTACAATATTTACCCATAAGATTCCTTCGATAAACCTTCACCTTCGATATAAGTAATCCCCCGTAAGCACAGACAAATATCTGATTTATTTGTTAGCTTACATCTTCCCCATTTCGTGTAGACAACCTCCCAGCAATTTAGCCCCAAAAACAGCACGAAACCCCCAATTAATTGGCAAATTTTTATGGGCAAATATAATTGCCATAAATAACAGCAAGCCTTTGCTTTTTTTTGTGCCCCTCCGTGTTGTTGATTTTGGTCGATTATTAGCTCAAAATACACACGAGGCCATAAATAACAGTGAGGTCTGTGTGGTCTGGAAAATATTATGCATACGTTGCGTGGTACGATGGAAATTTGACATTGAACTTGCGGCTCGCTATCCGATTCGATAGCCCTGAAGGCCAACTGGGACGACATGCTACTATGGGGGTGGCATTAAATATTCATTTGGCAGGCGGCTGCCATGACAATAAAAATATCCCCAACAGAGAGAGTTAGACGTAGTACAACAAGGAACGATATAATTACATAGTAATGCGACTAGAAAATATCCTTTGATGGGAAAGAGGAACACTAGAGGAGCATTAGCTGTGAAGGGAGAGAGAGAGAGAGACAGCTTTAATGCTAAGCCACACTGTGACAGAGAGCACATTCATTCTGACTGTGATAATGATCGTCGTGATTATCCCTGCAATATCATTCCGCTGAAGATCTTAATGTCTTTAAAACTTCTACCATCGATTCGATTCAGGAAGCAAAACTTTTCCTTCTGCCAGTTGCCGGACGAAGGCTATATACCCTCCAAAACCACAAGTAAGGGGTACAGAAACCAAAGCAAAAGATAGCTGGCAAAATGAAGGACAACATTTTTAATTGTTTGACCAGAACGTTCGATATAGACAAAGGTCCGTTTCCCACTGCCTCTGCCCTTGGCCCCTAGGGAGAGCCAGAGTGGGTGGCTGTTGGGGAGGCGCTCGTAATGAAGCCACATAAATCTCGGCACTAAATATATTTCGCCAAAGACTGGGGAGCTGGGGACTAGGAGGCAAAGTGAGGCAATTAATCTTACCCTCAAGATATATATACAGACATATATATAAACTTTTTTTTGTTGTTGTGGGCTGGCGGACGTAGGGGAACACGTAAAAAAGTACTCAAGGGAACGTTGCCGGGGGACGTCTAGGTTCCGGTGAAAGTAATAGCACAATAAATGTGCATCAAGCAGAGCCAGGAATCGCCGCAGTTAAGGTTGTCCCTGTCCCACCGCGTCCCCCCTGTGCGTGTAAATTATAGATAACCGTGTTAATGTTGCAGCATCCCATGTAGACCCTCTCCATCCCCATAACTTTTGTGGCCTGCCCCAAACAAACAAAGTTTGTTCCTTGTTCCCTGCGAAAGTTTTTCTTGGCTCTGGCCAGAAGTTGGTTTGGGCCTAAAAGTGTGCCAAAAGAAGCGCTACGGATGCGAGATACATTTCCAGAGCAGCTTCCTGCGTGTCCTGGACAAATTTCCTGCCCCAACCGCGGGCTCTTCCTTGTTGAAATGCCGAGCACTTTTCCCCCAACATATTTGTTGATTATTATTTATTGTAGGCCACGTCTTTGGGGGGGGAGCGAATTTAAAGACACGTTCAAGTGTTTAGCACTTTCCATTTTAACGCTAAACTTTACAAGTTTCTCCTCTTCAGAGGGGCGGAATAAAGCGGGGCAGGGCTCGTGGAAAAATTAGCAATTTAAATAATTTAATTACGCCGTGACCTGCAATTTTGCGGCGTTAATTAAAACGTGCCTCTATGTCCGCGTGCCATCCACTGGCTTTGGCTCTCGGCTCTTCCAAACTTTTTGGTCTAGCGGAATTATAACGCTCCTGATTCATTAGTTATGCCCTTTGGAGCCGAGTCTCTGTTTGCCTGTAAATTGGATGTACATAAGTACACGTAGTTTTCGCTAAAGTTTTTCTTTTTTCGCCAGTTTTTTAGGTACAAGTATTTGCATAGGACGTGAGTTCTTTGATATGGAGATTCCCCTGTGGGGGGGAGGAGGAATGGAATGTCTGGTGGAGGGCATCCAAATTGGTTTTGGTTATGTGAGACTATTTCTGTTTATATTTGGTTACAATTTAAGTGGGTTAGCAGGAAAACTGTTGGTGAAAAAAACTGGGCGAAAATCGTTAAACGTTTTTATGCAAAAATCATATAAAAGTGTGAAAAGAAATATAGTTTTAATTTGATTCTACTGATATGTAAACGGATTTAACCTCTGCAGGCCATCATTTATGTTTAAATATTTTGTAGGGCTTAAACTTTAATCTTTAATCTAAACTTTAAACATTTTCGCTTTTGGTTTCACAGCTTTTATCTCCCTCCCAACTGTCTGGCGTACACAATTTCTCAATTAAAATTCCCAAAACTATAGAACACCCACTTTGCACCAGACAAATCTTTAATCGACACTCTAAGAATCATTCCACAGCTTTATGAAATATTCTCACATTTAACTCTTCTCTGAAGAAATTGTATTCCAAATTGATTGATTGGATGAGCAATTACTCATAATGTCAAATGGTTATTTAATCATGTTTTGGAATTGGTTAAGTAAATGAATTTTGGCAAATTGTTCAACGGAGTTCATTGAGTTGAGTAAAATATGAGCATTTTGTGGATTCGCTAGAGTTTCTGGGGCGGAAATTGATTGTGTTTAATTTCCAGCAGAGCGACCGCAGTGGAAATATATATTTGTATTATTTTATTGCTGTTTTCACTTGGCAGCAAAATTTGTGGCAAATTGCAACAAAGTAAATAACAAATTAGACAGAGAAAAAATACGAGTGGAAGCGCTGTTGGGGAATGGCATTTGAGCGACGAGGTACCTGGTAAAAAACACTTTTAAAATTATGGAAAAATGTTTTTGAAATATATTTTTAAAAGTCCGCTCTTGTCATTGTCCATAATCATTCTATGGACTGAAATATAGCTCATGGGAATGCGGTTTCCAACAATACAACATACCCCTTCTGCCCCAACAATTACAGGGCATGATAAAACCAAAGCGCGTGTTGGAAATTTGTTTTTATTTTTGGTTGCCAACTTTTCGTACTGTGGATGCCCAAAAGAGGTGCCACAAAGTAGAAAAAAAAAACCGTAACAATAGTGAAAGAGAATTGCATTAGTGGGGCATGCAATGCAACTCAGTTTCCACTTTAACCGAAACGAAACGAAACGAAACCGCTGCTAAAAAGCTCTTGCCACAAAAATCTAATTTGGCACTTTGTGTGCTCTTTCCCCCCTTTTTTCCAGATGCCGCAATGTCGTGCCCAAGAGACACGTCGCCGTTTGGGCTCTGTGAGCGACTCGGCCCCTCCATCAGAGTCCAGCGATGGCACTGGCTTCTCATCGGCCTCGTCGGAGCAGAGGGAGGAGCTGATACTCCACGCGGACTGGTCGGGTGCCCATTCACACTCTTCGGCCCAGAGGAGCAGTGCCCACGGCACCACATCGCTCTATAATGCGTCGGACATCGACGCGGACACCATCAGCACGGACACCACAAGCAACACGAACCTCTCCGACTACGAGCGCGGTCAGGTGGAGAGCTTCTTCGGTGGCCTTGGCACCGAGATCTTTGTGAGCGGAGCCCTGGCCAATCTCTACGAGGGCACTGGCAACGACGGCGACTGGCGTCTGGTCTTCACGGGCATACCCGTGATCCTTCACGACAAGGGCAACTCCCGGGCCAGATCCATACCCAGGGTGACTCTGGTGCTGGCCGAGAGGGGCTCCTGTTTCGCCCTCTGGTCGGATCGCATTGACAACTTGTCCAACTATCGGCTTGCGGGTCCGTCCTTCCACACCATGTGCCTGTCGAGCAATCACCAGCAGATGATCGGCTTCAGCTTCGACTCCACAGATGCCGCCCGCGAGCTCTGGCAGCACGTGGAGCGTCTGGTCAGCGATCCGGAGAACATAGCCCTGACCGTGCCCGGCACTCGCAAGCAGAAGAAGCAGAAGCGCGTGAAGCCGGCCCCGTTGCCGCCCAAGTCACAGATATCGCATCCGTGCCAGTTCCATCACGTGACCAGTGTGGTGAAGGAGGACAGCGAGCGGTACTACAGCATGCAGGCCTTCGGACCGCACAATCCCCAACAGCATCGTTGAGTAGGGTCGGGCGCGTGGATCTGGAACACAAGCGCCCTTTGGTGGCAGAACTAAGCCCAGGCCCAGGCCAACCCGACTCCAACTCCAGCGATCACCCCTTAGTTGATAGAGTTTAGATCTATGATATATACCTACGTATGTATATCTTTGTTATAGCCGCGTTTCGGGCCTAAGTTATGCCAATGTGTGCTCTGAGGAGGATTCTCGGATGGCACATTCATCTGTGATACGATTTAGGCGTCTACAAACATAGAAATATTAATTAGCATTTGGAAAAGGAAACTGAAAATTTACAAAAAAGAATAATTCAATTCAAGGCAAAAAATCGAAAGAGAACTTTTCAAAGTTATATAACCCAATATATTCGATAAACGATTCAAGATTAGCGATAAAACGATTGTCAATAAGCGTGCGGAGTTTTGTAAACCTTTTCTAATATCACACATACACACCATAACCATAATTATATATATAGTATATAGTTCCCGATATCGTAATCTGCATGTCCATTTTGCAATTGCTGCAAAAATGTTTTTGATACCATAAGCTTGTTTTTTTAATCGGACTATGACTACACACACAAAAAAAATAAATGTTTTTTAAAATCTATGTATTATATTATATTACATATATATATATGCTATATTAAAACTATCCATATATTATATGTAGCTCTAAGCATTGCATGCATCATACATAGCTACGAAAATGTATGTATCTTGAACTTCATATTTTGCATAAGCAAAAACCATTGCGACAAATCAAATAAAGCTGAGAGAAAAACCAACCAGAAACAGATCTATTATGGGAGATGGGATTTTTTCTATAAAAGATAGTCTCTAAGCACAGGGAAAGTAGGACACCAGTAGGATAGAAGATATAGCACTTTTGGTCACTTTTGAACACAATTAAATGGGAAAATGTATAGCCTTAGAAAAGCACTTTCCATGAGTCCTTTACTGGACCAGACTTTAATCATTTTCATTCCTTTTCATAAGCCTACATCAAAAGGTAACCAAAAATTATCGATCAATTAAACACAGTCTCGATTAATGCCATCAAATAATTTCAATTAACAAAATCAACCAATAATCTGTACTCTTTTGTCATTTGCCCACAAATAAATGTCAGGCTTACGCGAGTATCAGACTTCAATCATTTAACCCCCATGTCTCAATTATTTGCCACTGAATGCACTACCAATTACAATAACAATTAAAGCCATTACGAGTGGAGTGGAGAAGAGAGCCCGCATAATTATGCATCCCCAAAGGGGAGATGGAATGTGGGATGTGTGGATATGGATTCTGTGAGAGCTGGAGCTGGAGCTGGAGCGAAACGGTAGCCTGATTCTGATTGACCGCTGCCATGGAATGACACTAGGCTCTGCTGCTGCTGCTGCTGATGCTGCTGCTCTTTGCTGGAGAGTTGCATAACCAAGTGGCAGAGTGGCGCTGCCACACGATGCACATTTATGCTAATTAAGACACATCGAGTGGCAGCCAAGAGTGGCCGCCGTCGGAGCCATGGACAATCTCTTTCTCTCTTTCTGCGGCTTGCATTTTATGGTCGTTTTATTGTTTTATGTCTGTTTGCGTATATTGCCATTATAAATGCTATTATGCAGCACATTTATTATTTCATGTTGGACAATTAAAATCTACAATTTCTGTGTTTGCATTCGAGTTGAATAATGTGCAGTTATGTGTACTTGGCCAACCCACTCGCAAGTGCCGCCGCAAGTGGCTGAAATCGAGCATCCAGGCCCCCTGATGCAATGGCCAACACAATAGCTGGCGCTTGCAGGAGACTTACACGATTCCCACAACTGAAAGTCTAATAAATGGGCGACCTTGATTAAGCTCAAACAATGCTAGGGAATCGCATGCAGACCGTGCAGAAATGGGTTACAGCGGAGACCTCTCATTGCAGCGAACGATGAGAAGCTCTTAATGGGTCAGCTCTTTGTCTCTTTTTTTGTGTCTCGACTAAGAATTGGTTTCTTTAAAGGTGCGTTTTCTATATCCCATTCCATTATAGTGCTGCACATAGCAACGAGCTAAAAAAATAAGGTTGAAAAACAGTCGGAAAATATCTTGGAACAAAAATATCTTAACCAATGACTTGAATATGAAGGATACGGCTATTGTTCTTAGACAGTTATATATACACTCAAAAGCTTTATATCACAGCTCCTATAGGTTCATAAACCTCCTCTTAACTATAGGAGCTTCGACTTACCCTCGATTGGAATTCAAATTTAATCGTTTTCCCCCCTCTGTATTTTGCAATTTTTCGACATAATCCAATTCATTTTCCCCTACCCACATAGCCCATTCATACACATAGTCCATTCCAATACCGAAACCAAAATGTTTTTAATCAAAAACTTGCTAAGCCCGGAAAAATGCGATTTGCTATTCAACTTTCCATGTACATGTATGTGTGGGTTGTATCTGTGTGTGTGTATATTAGCCATTGCCCTGCATGTGGCTGCATTTTTGATGCCATTGTCTGGGTCCAGGGGGCTAATGGTAAAGCAATCCAATCCCCTCTATGATTTTGCAGCTGCCTGGGATCAGAACTCAGAATCCAGGAACCAAAACATGCAAATTCACGGACAAAGCCAGCACCCAGCTTTCAAACTCAACTCTCAACTCTGGCACAAAAATAGGGAAAATTCAAAAATCGCATTTGCTTCAGGTTTCAACACAAAGATTACCCCGCTCCCACATATACAGGCATTCCTGCACTGAAATAAAAGTGTAGACATGGAAACACACACAATTTTCGTGCTAAACAACTAAGCTTCTATTTGCATGTTTCCATTATTAACTTTTAACTTTAATATTTGGTTGTTAAATGTATAAACTGAGTACCTGGTATCTTAAGGTCGAGGGACGTGTGCCTTAGACCGTTTCAACAGTAGTATTCCAAAATTATCCGTTTTTGTCAGTGCATCGCTTGTAGGGTGTGCGCTTGGTGTTCTCTGGTGCACGTGGGTGCCTGGGTGAGCCGCAAACATTTTGATTATTTTAGTTGACTGGTGCAAAAGTGCGGCTTAATTGTTACCAACAAACAATAAGCGGAAGCTTGCGGCTTAGCTAAATCTCGACAAAACTCTGAGCCAAGCGGAAAGGGAGGGAGATGGATAGACAGACGGCCATTGTAGAGGCAGAAATGTCAATCCGAACCCACAATCAACAGCATTAAAATCATCTCAGATGCCAGTCAGGCACTCGCCAGATGATGATGATGTTGCTACTGAAATCTTTTGTGCTGAAGAAAAAAACCATTAAGCTCCAAAGAAAATGCACATGGCCGAAGGTAAGGCGCTGCCCGAGGACTCTGTTCGCATACATCCATTCTTTATGGTTACTTTTCAACGCGTGTTCTGTATTTGTAAACAATTTGGACCCAACACCAGCCAAAGGCACTTGTGACCTTCCTTCCTTCCGCCTTAGTACCTTTCCTTTCCTTCCTTCCTCTGTGCTCTTACCTCCTTTCACTCTCCTGCCGCTTGGGCATATATTTGTTTTGGCCTTTGCACACGCGTGATGTCAAGTTGAGATTTTTCTTGTCCACATTACCATTTCTATGGCATTTCCATATTTTGTGTCCTAGTTTTTGCTAGAAAAAGAACTATGCCTTTGGTTGAGACATTGTAGGCGCTTTGTGGTAGAGGGTGCTGTGATTTTGACCCATAAAGATTATATATTCTAGATCAAAATCCACCTCGGGCTGGCAGAAACTTTTCCTTACGCCTTGTCTCAGACTCAAATAATTGATGTACATATCTACTTTGCTTCACCTTTACATCAGTACGTACTTTAGCTATCATTCACATTATGTTTATTGAATTGAAATGAAGCAATGAACATTTCTTATGGCCACCCCTCATCTGTTTCATATTTCTCCTTCTTTTTGGATTTCTGCTTTAGCTTGTCCAGCACTTTAAGACCCTGCTCCTCGTACTCCTCTTTGGACATCCAAAAGTCATCACGATCCTTAGTGACATTGGCCAGAACAGAGCCACCATTGAAGACATTATTCTTGCGTGTGGGTGGATCCTTAATTCGTATCTTAAATTTCGGCATATTTTCCGCATCGCGTTGGAGCACTCGCTCTAAGAACAATTTCTTCAAGTCGTTCTCCAGTCGACTGGGAAATCCCGGAAACATGGTGGATCCCCCAGACAACACGATATGCCGGAACAGCTGCGGACGTATGTCGATGTCCGCAGCTTGAATCACATTGAAGGCCATTTCAGAAAGGCCGGCGGCTTCGACATCGATCAAATGCGGTTGGAAGAAAGCCTCGGGCGCCTCGAAACGCTCGCCGCCGATCTTGATCACTCGACCATCGGGCAACGTATAGGACTCCACCAGCGCTGTGGTGTCCTCGGCCAGCCGTTTCTCCTGCTCGATGTCGTAGCCAACGTAGCAGAGTTTTTCCTTCATCAGTCGCACCGTTTCAAAGTCCGCCGAATTATTCAACGCGTAGCCGCGTTGCATAAGCAACTTGACCAGACGCCGCGTGATATCACGGCCGCAAACATTCAATCGCTTCGTCAAATGTGGCAGGGCAGCCTCCTCGTAGACAGCACAAATGTTCGTGACACCATCCCCGGCATCGATCACCGCGCCCGTAGTCAGACCCTGGCCGTACAGCGTGAGCACCGCCTGTGAGGCCAAATACGTGGCATCGAAGCCGTAATGCTCAAACATCACCTCCATCATCTTCTCCCGATACCTCGTGGGGATCATGGGCGGCTCGGCCAGCAGTATCTTCGAGTTTGCCGGTTCGATGTTCATCTTCTTTGGGCCAAATGTATAGTCCCACACATGGCACATGTCCTCCCAGTTACGGATTATACCATTCTCCATGGGATGGGAAACCGCTAGCAATGATCGCAGCTTGAGTGCCTCATCGCCGACCATCACATCATCCATCTGCACGCCATTCGCATCGCAAGTATTCATCGCCCGGAGAATAGGACGCCCCACTATCGAGGGAAAGATGTGCGCGGGCAAATTGCTGCCGGCAAGTCCGCACTTTACAGATCCTGTGCCATTATCACAGACAATTATGTGCCGACCCTTGGTATCCATTTTGCGAAGTAACTTAACTGGAATGCCAAATTTTATGGGCTTGTATTGTGGTTTAAAATAAATTCGACAACTTACAAGTGCAACCTTTTCTTGGAAAAGTAAATTCGATGCGTAGCTGTCCTACGATGTATTGTTCTACGACTACTGCGATTTGAAGGATAGATGATTAAGGATAGTTCTTTGGCATTTACTTGATTCGTAGAAAAGTTTTCAGGAAAGGAAGAAGCACGGAAACTAGATATCGGACAAGCACTTATTAAGAGATGAGACAACGTTCATCGATGCATCGTAAGATATATCGATGCCTTCGAGAAATATCGAGCTTAATAAAATACTGTTTTAAACTTAAATATACTCATTCTCAGTTTAGACCATACTATAGCGGCATTGGCGCTTAATTGGCACACGCTGATTGTTGCGTCTTGAGATCTGGTTCGAATAGTTCAAATAGACACACCTGCGTTCAA